TACCCCTATTCAAAACTCCATGCAGAAGGAATTTGATTTACATATCCCTTTTTGCCAGCCTTTCTTTTGTCTTGGGTTGCTAGGTCATGTGACTGAGATGAAAGGAGTTTGGAAAAGGTATAAGTCTCTCCTTGCCCTGTCCCACCCCCCATTGATGCCCCTGCTGCCCCCTGCCATAATTCCCTTTAAGGACCATAAAGAAGAATTGATGCTTTTGAATTAGGGTGCTGGAGGAGACTCTTGTGAGTCCCATGGACTGCAAGAAGATCAAACTTATCCATTCTTAAGGAAATCAGCCCTGAGTGCTCACTGGAAGCACAGATCCTGAAGCTGAGACTCCAATACTTTGGTCACCTCATGAGAAGAAAAGACTCCCTGGAAAAGACCCTGATGTTGGGAAAGATGGAGGGCACAAGGAGAAGGGGACGACAGAGGACGAGATGGTTGGATAGTGTTCTCGAAGCTACCAGCATGAGTTTGACCAAACCGCGGGAGGCAGTGAAAGACAGGAGTGCCTGGCGTGCTCTGGCCCATGGGGTCACGAGGAGTTGGACACGACTAAACAACTAAACAACAACAACAATTTCCACCTGCCTAAGTTCCTCTGGCTGAACCCCAGGTGAGCGAAGGTGAGGAACATACATCAGCACATCTCTGGCTCAGCCAGGGTGAGAGATTTGTGCTGACTGAGCCCTGGTTGAGCCAAGAAAGCCCAAGACCTGCAGAATCCAAATTCTCTCATCCCAGCCCATCTTGGGTTCAGATTGCACTGTTAACCTGCATCCAACCCAACTTGCTTCATGAGTGCAAGCACCCAAAACTGCATTTCTGAACTGTGGTATACCAGTGTGCATGTGTATATTTTCCTCACTGCACATTGCATTGTGGGCTCTTTAGTTTTAAGGCGTCTATAGCCTTAGGACTACAGAACCCTTGATACAGTGCAACTGCGAGCAAAACATGTGTGCACAAGCGCTACCTTGTTTATGCAGCAGCTGCAGTCACAAAACTGAGGACTACTGTGTTGGGGTTGTTTCTGCGGTCCTCAAGGAGGCAGTGGGATGGCTGCTCCCCAAAAATTTCCACCCTGGACCTGCTGATAAAGAGGAACTGCTGACCAGTCAGTCATGCATTCCGTCTTTCAAGGCAAGGTACTGGAAAAAGCCAGGGCACAGAAGCTGCAGGCATTCTTGGTGAATACCAATAATCTAGATCCTTCCCAGACTTTCAGGCCAGGTTATGGGATAAATCAGCCTTGGTGGCCCTTTACTGAGAGCAGGAAATGTGACCATTCTCCTCCTTATTAGTTTCTCTGTAGTTTTTGATATTGTTGACTACGGCATCCTCCTAGACTTGGGAGATCCCTCACTGTATCAAACTGAGCTGCCAAACCTTGGGTGGTATCTGATGTAACGCTGATTTAAAAGTCACTTATTGGTATATTTATTGTCCCAGCTCCTGCCAACCTAGCAGTTTGATATCACGCTAGTGCAAGTAGATAAATAGGTACCGCTGTGGCGGGAAGGTCAATGGTGTTTCCGTGCGGTCTGGTTTCTGTCACAGTGTCTAGTTGCACCACAAGCGGTTTAGTCCTGCTGGCCACATGACCTGGAAAGCTGTCTGTGGACAAATACCGGCTCCCTCGACCTAATGCAAGATGAGTGCCGCACCCCATAGTCACCTTTGATGGGACTTAACCGTCCAGGGGTCCTTTACCTTTACCTATTGGTATACAGTGGTAAGAAGTCCATTCTTAAACCAAAGCATTCTTAAACCAAGGTGTGCTTCACTCAACAGGAAGTGAAACATGTTCTTATTCCAAGGCAAAGTTCACAAACCAAAACACCTACTTCCAGGTTTGCAGCTTTCTTAATCCAAGTTGTGCATAAACTAAGCTATTCTTACAGTAAACCAAGGTACCACTGTACAGTACTTGTTATATTGGTGAAATGTTTTGCACTAGTGGAACATTGTTAAACAAGAGAATGCAAATGCATAACCAGGTGTGTAGTAACTTTATTGCACAATAGATTGAGCAATTAGTTTCCAATAGTGCGTTGGCTGTATTTGATTCCTCTCTTGTGCAACATGAAAACTCACTTGTCTGAGTTAGCCCTTGCACTAGTGGATAGAGAACATGGGATACAGACCTTGATTTCTCAGCTTTATTATTATTATTATTATTATTATTATTATTATTATTATTAACACGCCACTGTCTGACTGCTCTTAGTGATTGCTTGCACTTCCAAAGTGATGATGATGATGATGAATACAACTGATTTCTTAATCATCTCCTCAATGCGATTTGTGCATAAAATAATTAAACACACAAAACCAACAGAGGCATTTAAAGCAAAACTATGAGGCAAATCCCGTGCTTGCCTCAACAAGGTACCTTTACTAGGACACTTTGGATTAAGGAAATAGTTCCGAGGATAACACATGACCCGATTCCGGGATTTCATTTGATTGTGTACCCCTTTGCTTTGAATTTTCCTTCAACTGCACAGCAGAAAAGAAAGGAAGAAAAGTTACCCCCCACACCGTCCAAGCCAGACCAAGTGCTCTGAATTTTTATTGGGAAAGTATAAAAGGGCTCTGCATTCTTACCTTTATTTCGAGACCTCCTACATGAAACAGGAAGGGAAAACATAAAAGCTTTGCTTCTTTTAAATTAGTTGGAGGGCGGGCTATTTTTACCCCACCCCCACCCCCTTACTGTAATATGAGAGAGAGAGAGAGAGAGAGAGAGAGAGAGAGAGAAGGCTATTTTTGAGAAGCTACAAAGACTTTTGAATTTCAATACCCACCAATAGCAGAAACATGGTTTTAATTTACAGTTGTGGGTCCCCCTCCACCACGGCCACCCTCCCCTCCTCTCCACATCCCTTCCCTTTCACATGAATCCTATAAGTGAGATGTGTTGCTACAACGAATCCCACAGGGACAGTCTGGACAAAAGTCGAGGAACAGCTGGAGAACTACAGACTGTGAAAGTCTGCCCCTGACGCTGATATGAATTATTAGTTTAGTCAGAGAAATACCTCTCTCCCTTCTCCTGCCATAGGCAATCATAAGCAGCACTTGGAAAGAATTAAAGCACTGCCTCTCCCCTCCCTCCCTCCCCCCTCCCAGCCAGGAGCAGCTAAATGAAGATTTATATCTTTTTAAAATAAACGACACTCTTCCATTCATACCCTTTCCAACTTCCCGCTCTCCATTTCCTCCCATGCGCCCCTCCTTTAATTTCATTTTAAAACGGGATTCTGTAATAACTACCTGCTCAACATGATTCCCTACTGCCATCCTACATTGCCTTTAGGCCACCAGACAGGCCATGGGGCCGTGGGGTGCGAGAAGAGAGGCATGAGCGTGAGGACCCCAAAGTCCAGGATGCAAGCCTTGCTTCTCTCCATGCACATGGCCAAAGTCATAATGAGGACTAGGAGATTGTGTGCCACCTAAGGGTGGACAAATCTGACAATTTCAGTTTCTCGCAGTTTCTCCTTTTAAGCCACTTTCAAGTTCCGTTCTTCACATATTCATATCAGGACAGAGAAAAGAAAATACTTCTTTGTGCACACGGGCCATTATCCTGATCCAATCAGCACTTCTTATTTTTCTTGTTCTTATCAGTTTGCAATGTGTGTGTGCTTCTTAAGTAATGAAAAATCACCAGTATTTTAGCCTGTAGGTTTCCTAATACAGAGGACACTCGGGCTGCACGTCTGCACACACGCGGGTTGTGATTCGGTGCTGCTGCGTATGCGCGACTGCCAAAACCCAGAAGTAACCTGTTCCGGTATTTCTGGGTTTCGGTGGTCCGTAACCTGATAAAACGCAACCTGAATCGTCTGTAACCCGAGGTATGACTGTATTCATGTTTTTGCATGCCACTTAGCATGTTTGCGAATGATTTCCTGCTGATTTGATGCACTTCTTGTGTGTTATTTTAGCAAAGCAATTTCTTGTTCCCAGGGAAATGACGTTGCGGGCTGGGAGCAAGCCCTCCCCACGCACACAGGGCAGGATAGCCCCAGCACCTTTGGAGGGTCCTCAGCCACGTCATCCCTAGGCCGTCCAATTCAGACGGTCCAGGGACATGGTGCGGGCTATTTAAACTGTCCATGGCTGAGGACTCGCCCCTTTTCCTCCCTGCTTGGTCAGTTCTCCAGCCCTCCCTCCCTTAGGTTTGCTCTTTATCTCTTGACCTTGCTATGGACCTCGGTTGGTCGCCTGTTGAAGGGGCCTGGTAGGAATTTTTCCCACTTGGCAAATTGGTACCTGCCATTTGGTTTTTCGCCTACCTTGTAGCAAATCGTCACAACTTTGTAAGGTTTGGCGGTTAGGCATTGGAGTATTCGGTTGAAGGGGAGGGGAGGTAGTGGCCATCACCTACCCCTCCTAATTCAAGGGTATTCCATTAAAGGAATCCGAGGGGTGTGGTCTCTGTCAGAAGCCCCAGATGGGGGATTAGGGCCATGACACAACCCCTAGCGGTGCTCTTGGGGGAGTTCCTAGTTGATATGCATCAACAGGGATCCCCCTACTGGTGGTTAACCCTTCCAAGACTTCCTGCGGATGGGCAGGAGTCAGATATAGTTGTGTGGTTTCCAATGCCTAAGCCAATACCACTCACATTCTGTAACCAATAAAGTTGTGTCCTTTTTCGCCCATTGACCTAAAATACGGTTTCATGTGTCTTTATTCCACTTTCCAGGAGGGTTTGGGACCTTGCCATGTAAATATATGTCTTTTGACTCATACTTTCCCCAAATATACATATTTTTGTACGCATTATTTGGAGGGGAGCTGCGTTACAAAATTCAGAGGAACATGAGTTTCAATGGGAAGTTGTGTTTCGGTTGTCCTGCTGTTTCAGGAAGTGCTAATTATCTAGGTTCATGTTAAAATATAGGCCAAACCAAATTTCTCCCCCTAGTGTTACTCCAGGGTCATTCAAACCATATATGAAAACAATGGATTTCATGGGAGCATCCTGGATAGCTCAGTTGGTTAGAGTGTGGTGCTGATAATGCCAAAGTTGCGGGTTCAGTCCCCGTAAGGGACAGTTGCATATTCCTGCATTGCAGAGGGTTGGACCAGATGATCCTCAGGGTCCCACCCAATTCTATGATTTTATGACCCTGGAATCCATTTCCCTTAGTAGACAATCTTGGGGTTATTCAAAGTTCGTTGTGTTGCTCTACAGAATTCTGCAACTCACTCCAAAAGAAATAACCCTTCTAGGTGATCATCATATTATCATTATTATTATTATTTTTTTAAATAATTTTTATTAAAGTTTTAAACAAAGAAAAAAGAAAAACAACACACACAAAAAACAATACAAAACTCAACAATAAAAACACAAAACATAACAATTAAAAACAAACTCTCTTTTCCATTTCCAATTTTAAATTACTTATTTTCTGGACTTCCTCATACCTCCCTCTTTTGTATTCCAATCCACATTTATTTATCCAGCAGTTTCTTTTCCACTTTTTTAATCCCAATCTTTAATTTAATAAAATGTTAAAATATATAACTTCAACTTTCTTAAACCTAATCCTTACTCTTAATGTCATATAGCTTTAAATTTTTCCCTTTTATTATCAAATTTCCATTTCTTTAAACATCTTTAATCTTAATCTTTAATCTTAATCTATCCTTATATTTAACCTGTACAGCTGGAAACACTTATTTTCAATCCAACATCACTCTAACATTCCTTAATTTTGCAGTGTTTCTGAAGATAGTCTTTGAATTTCTTCCAGTCTTCCTCCATCGACTCTTCTCCCTGGTCACGGATTCTGCCAGTCATTTCCGCCAATTCCATATAGTCCATAAGTTTCATCTGCCATTCCTCCAGCGTGGGAAGTTCTTGTGTCTTCCAATACTTTGCGATGAGTATTCTTGCTGCTGTTGTTGCATACATAAAGAAAGTTCTATCCTTTTTTAACACCATTTGGCCCACTATGCCCAGGAGAAAGGCCTCTGGTTTCTTGGGGAAGGTATACTTAAATACCTTTTTTAATTCATTATATATCATTTCCCAGAAAACCTTAATCTTTGGGCACGTCCACCAAAGGTGAAAAAATGTACCTTCAGTTTCTTTACATTTCCAGCATTTGTTATCGGGCAAGTGATAGATTTTCGCAAGCTTGACTGGGGTTATGTACCACCTGTATATCATTTTCATAATATTCTCTCTTAAGGCATTACATGCCGTAAATTTCATACCTGTGGTCCATAACTGTTCCCAGTCAGCAAACATAATGTTATGTCCAACGTCCTGTGCCCATTTAATCATAGCCGATTTTACCGTTTCATCCTGAGTATTCTATTTCAGCAGCAAGTTATACATTCTTGACAAATTCTTAGTTTTGGGTTCTAACAATTCTGTTTCTAGTTTGGATCTTTCCACCTGGAAGCCAATTTTCCTATCCAATTTAAATGCCTCCATTATCTGATAATAATGAAGCCAGTCTCGCACTTTGTTTTTTAATTTTTCAAAACTCTGCAATTTTAGTCTATCTCCGTCTTGTTCCAAAATTTCCCAATATTTCGGCCATTTGACCTCCATATTATCATTATTATTGTACCCTGCCCATCTGACTGGGTTACCCCAGCCACTCTGGGTGGCTGCCAGCATATACATACAAAAACATAATAAAACATTAAACGTTTAAAACTTCCCTAAACAGAGCTGCCTTCAGATGTCTTCTAAAAGTCAGGTAGTTGTTTATTTCCTTGACATCTAATGGAAGGGCATTCCACAGGGCAGGTGCCACTACCGAGAAGGCCCTCTGCCTGGTTCCCTGTAACTTCACTTCTCGCAGTGAGGGAACTGCCAGAAGGCCCTTGGCGCTGGACCTCAGTGTCTGGGCAGAACAATGGGGGTGGAGATGCTCCTTCAGGTATACTGAGCCAAGGCTGTTTAGGGCTTTAAAGGTCAGCACCAACAGTTTTTCTTTCAGGACAGAAGTAAGCCAAGAGCTTCTGCTTCAGCGGATCAGATGCAAAAGAGAAAAGGGCCCCATCAACACCCAGAAGTAGAAATTTCATCAGATGCTTGTCCCTTTGTAACAAGCTGAACCTGCCAGAATCCCTGCAAAAAATAAAAAAAAAATTACAGGGGCATCTGGTCCCCTTACCTCTGATCTTCTTCCCGGGAGCAGTCAATGCTCTTTCAACTCACTTCAGCCTTGAATTCCTCACCCCTGAAACTGTAAACAAATGAAAAGTTGGAAACAGCACATCAGAAGAGTCCCAGGACATGGGGGTGAGTTGTTACTTATCTTCCTTTTTTCCAAAAATAGCAAACTGGCTTAATGGACCCAAGAGCTTCATGGGGTCCATTTAGTCTTCCCATTTCCAGCTACTTCAAGGCTTTAAAAATTAATAAATAAATCCAGGGCCTGCAACTTGCTGCTTTATCTCATTATCTCCTGTTTTGCATTTTAATGTGCTTTGCTCTAAAAAAGACCTCATTGATATTCTGTTCCAGCATGTGTTTGTTTGTATCTCTTGGGGAAATTTGCTACAGTTATTACTAAGTCAAAAGCACACACGGTTTCCTTAGCTCCTTTATAATTTTACTCTCTTATGGAAAACAATCCAATATTTCACACTTTGTGGGGCTGGGGGCGGCAGAGAAGAAGAGTCCTCTGGGTATAAGAAGTGCAACTGCCCCAGGATATGTGCATCTATTGATCTTTCATGAGCACAGATTCCAGCACACAGGAACCCTCAAGTCAGAGATGGGCAGAGAGTGGGTGGGCCGCCCTGGGCAGAAAGGGAGCACAGTTGAGGGGTGCCCTTTCTCTCAGTGTCCCACATTGCCTGGGATTTTCTCGCAATGGGCTTTTAATAGGACTGCAGGCTTTAATTGGTTGCAGAATACATTAAAGCAGGTTGTTGTTAGTCATGCTGCACTGTGGGTGTTTATTTGCCACTCGCAACTCCTGGGCGTCCTACTGAGAGACTTGGAACGGTGGATAAACTCCCTGTGCAGTCGGTGGGTGATGCTGGTACAACCTGGGAGGATCGGTGTTGTCACCAAATTCCAGTAGAAAAAGAATTCCAGACAAATTTAAACATCCCTACACACATTTTAAAAAAAACAACAAAACTCAAATATTTGTGGGATTTTAAAAGTAACAAAAAATATTTTTTTATTAGGGCTGTCAACTCCCAATTGAATAAATATTAGTAAATTGAACATTTGAGTTTTATAGCCCCTCCTGTGGTCTTTCTGTATTATGCATTCATCATGATTTGTGCTCAGGATGATATCGGGGTTGTTACACATTATGCTGTTTTCATGATGTTTGAGCCTGTAAAACTTTCAAGGCGAACATACTGCTCCAGGTGGTGCGTAGTCCATGTTCAGCTTCCCACTGAAACACTGTATTTTTTCATATTGCATATCTTCTAGAGGGTTCCTTTTGTTGTGTTTTTGTTGTGCTATTGCACAAGTATGTCCCTACTCACTGAGTAACGGGCTGTTCCCTCACTGTGAGAAGCAAAGTTAAAGGGAACCAGGCGGAGGGTCTTCTCGGTAGTGGCTCCCGCCCTGTGGAATGCCCTCCCATCATATGTCATGGAGATAAACAACTACACGACTTTTAGAAGACATCTAAAGGCAGCTCTGTATCGGGAAGTTTTTAATGTTTGATGTTTTGCTGTGTTTTTGTTATGTTGGAAGCCTCCCATAGTAGCTGTGGCAACCCAGTCAGATGGGTGTGGTATAAGTAATTAATAATTATCAAATTATTATTATCACCCCTGACCATTAGCCAGCTGGTTGCTGAGGTTGATGGGACTTGAGTCCAACAACATCTGCAGCTGGCTACCTGGCAATGATCCACCATCATGTGGAGAAACCTTTACCCAAATGAAGTGATTTTTTTTTATATATATATGGATGGTATTAACTTTGCTTCCACACCACAAGAGCAGCAGGGTCTTCTCACCATCCAGTCATGGAGTTGGCCAACCTGAAGGTGACTCTTGACACTAGGCCTAGTCAGGACCTTCACCCTTTTCCTAGTCAGCCTGGTGCTTCCTTCACATGAAATATTTTCCCCTCACCCAACTGAAAGGGCCTCGATAGTATTATTTCTTATGTGACTGAGGTTTGAGGGCCTTCTGTCAGGTTCTTTAGCTGTGATTCCTGAATTGCAGTGGATTGGACAAGCTGACCCTTGTGTTCTCTTCCACTTCTACACTTCTGTGATTTCTGAATAGCAGGTTGGATTTCTTTGTGTTTCTTTTTCCTTGGTACTCTCTACCATTTTAGCTGAGATTATTATTTATGTTGGCTTGGGCATGATAGGGAATCAGAGGGGAGAGGAAACATAGGAGGAGGCAGGCAACCTTAGAAGCTTCTTCTCATCAGTGATTACCTTAATTGTCTTAAGCAAACTTCAAATCCCTCTGATTACCTGGCTTAAGAAAAATGTAAATATATGCCATGCGTGTTTAGTCATGTTTAAAAACGTAAATTGGTAGCACATGGAAATTGTGTGTGTTTGTTGTTTATCATCGGGAGATGTTTGCTTCCAGCCCAGAATGCCACATGCATTTCAGTGCTCACACAGAGTTCCTACACATGGCTCTGTTTCTTCCCATTAAAATGATCGGAGTAACCTTTGCCTGGATCAGAATAATGTTTGAACAAGTATTGCATACCCTCCAACATTTCTCTGATGAAAATAGGGAAGTCCACAATAACAATACCCCAACCATCTGACTGAGTGGCTCTAGCCACTCTGGACGGCTTCCAAAATATATAAAAACATAATAAACATTATACAGTAGTACCTGGGGTTAAGAACTTAATTCGTTCTGGAGGTCCATTCTTAACCTGAAACTGTTTTAACCTGAAGCACCCCTTTAGCTAATGGGGCCTCCCGCTGCTGCCGCACCACCGCTGCACGATTTCTGTTCTCATCCTGAAGCAAAGTTCTTAACCCGAGGTACTATTTCTGGGTTAGCGGAGTCTGTAATCTGAAGCATCTGTAACCCGAGGTACCACAGTAAAACATAAAAAACATAATAAAACA